GAAAGCTAGATAAAAAAAAAAAATGTTTTACAATATATCTCATTTCCGATATTTCCTCTGCAGCTGTGCTAAAATATATAAAAAGCAATAAGAAATTTTTAATTTCAGATAAAGAAGCAAATTTGGTACTTCCGCATGGCAAGTTTCTAAGGTACAAGTAGACACGCTATTATATGGATGTATCAGAACACGGGAATACAGGCATGAACTGACCTATACGAGACGGTATTGATTTAATCATGAGACAACTTTACAAAGCATGTTATGTACCTTGCTCTTTGTACATGGTTTCTTCTAGCAGGCAAAAAAAAAAAGAACAATGAAAGTGGGTGGGGCTGTTCTCAAACAGACCAGAGAGAAAAAGACAGTCAAACACTTCAGGATGATTTATAGCGACAACCAGAACTAGGGCACTCAAAACCAGAGTGTCTGGTAATTTGGAACAAAAAAAAATGCACGTGTTTCACATTTAGCTTCTATGAAGACAATGGGTTATTTATTATGGAAATGACTTAAACGCGTGGGTGTGAAAGTCAACTCGGGCAATGTCGCTATTTGACGAGCTTAAATTAACATACCAGTAGCTGCCTACTACTTTGCATACTACTAATAGAGTGTAGACAGGGCAGACCTTTCAGTTCGTTTTTAATCAAAGGTGGGTCAGGCCAATGCAAATACAAACAGAAAACACTGACTATTGTTGGCGTATGGCTGTTAAGAGGAAATTAAATGGTATATTGATTTTAGTCTATGAATGTTTGAGTAAAAAACAATATTACCAAATTAACGTATGTTTATATAATTAGAAAGCTATATGCACATAATGGGTACTCCCATGGTGCATCACTTCCTATATGGATAAGAGAGAAGGTCAAATGATCAATGTGGGAATAGAACTTAAATCATTCCTTTTTTTCTCTACAAACACACCCCCCCCCCCTCCTTTAAAAATAAATTTTACCCGATCTTCAGGAATGGTGCAAAACCATGTTTTTTATTATAATAAACAGATTTCAGTTTAAGCATGTAATATAAACAATTTTATAACTTTAAAGCTTCAAAATCAATTTTGTCAAGATAAAGCTTTACTCATCTTTCAAAACCACTTGTTTAACATGTAAAATCATATCTACAAGATCATACACTAGCCCCCCCCCCCAGAAAATAAGGGATAAAGTTTGTTATCTAACATTCAACTTTTCACAGTGTCCTTAACTGACCTGTTGAGAAAAGAAAAACGAACAATGACTGATGAATATACAATTGAATTGTATACCATTGTATAACTGAACCTATTGCGCAATTCAGAAGTACCATTGGTTCATTGGGCTTCAATTATTCAAGTGGCGAAAAAAACTATAAATTATTTTTCAAACGATCCTTTAGTGCAACGATACATAATGTACCACACATGAACTGAACCACTGCAGTGTTCAACAGAAAATGACCACTGAGATATTATTAAGAGTGAGCGAGCTTGTTTTTTCCCCTCCATTCTCTACCGACATTGAGCCAACTGTTCCCCGAAATATACAAATGTACGTAACTATGACATATATATAGCAGTGCAAAATCATTGGGGGGGGGGGTTACAAGTCAGATGACTAATTGCTTTCAATAAAGTTTTGGCGGCCATTTATGAATAATGTACATCTGTACTTGTTTTGCATGTGCCTACAGTCAATGCTTCAATAATAATAATAACTTTATTACACTACTAAAATCCTTCAGAGGGTTTTTGTATGGTAAAAAACATAAACACAAAGAAATAAAAAAAATTCAAAAGCGATAAAATTAAGAGGGAAAATAAACGAAAAAGAAAAAAATATCAAAAGGAGTCAAACCCAGGGTTGCTATAAAAATCTTAATTTTTCACAGTTAGGAATCTTCTCATTTTGATGATTTATGGCATACATTTGAAATTCACAAAAATTGGTTTTATGTGAAATTAAATTTACAGTACTTACGGTCCTTACAGTCTAATTCATCAAAATGAAGTCAATGCAAATCTACTTACAAGATGCCTGATTGGATACCCAACCCTAACACCTAACAGTCAGACCAATCAGAGAGCACCTTATTTATTGACAGGTTTTTCCAACATATAAAATTCTGCCTTGTATATATGTTACAATACAACTTCCAAAATGAGTCTTGACAGGACTACAATGATTTGTACTGGTCTCAAAAAAAAGAAAAACAATTCAGAACACATACTAATCTGTCACCGATCCATACGCAGTCATTTGCAATATTAAAGAAATTCACATTTTAACTTAGTAACACAAAATAACAGGAAAAAGCATTGAAAATAAATTCCCTACTAAACTCTCTCAAAACTCTTGAATCGTATTTTGAATAATAATAGAGACAAATTTGACCTTGACAGCTGATATGTAGAAATGAGATACTGGCTGAAACCAATATCATTGTCACACAAAGTAACTATAGCCAAAATAACATTTCTACCCTGACCCTTAATTACAGAACCTAGCAATGGTTACCATGAATGCTAGTGGCATGTGCTTATGTCAACACGTTGGGAGCAGTTATATTGAACTATTATTTTAAACCTTTTTTTTTTTTTGTTTAATTGCTTGATTCATTAAATAAAAATAATTTTTGATAAAATGGTTCTGATGACCGCAAGGAGACAAAAAGACTACCACATGTAGTTGAGCAAATACCACATATATATTATGCCCCAGATAAACGAAATACAAAATATATATATCTGTTACACCCCAGATAAACGGAATACAACATATAATCTGTTATGCCCAACATAAACGAAATACAACATATATATCTGTTACACCCAAGATACATAACTCAAGGATACTGTAATACAAACATGACCTCATTATTATTTGCAAACTCTGCAGTGAAGAATAATCCAATTAAGTACAATGTAAGAATTTAAGGTCAGACCAAGACCATACAGGATCACATAAACTTTGCATGTAAATGTAGTTAGGGTTAGGGTTGTCTATGTCAATAATCTTCATTTACAACTTCTGTTTTAAGTCGTATTCTCACTTTGCAAATCTGTGAGGTATTATTTCCTAAGCAATAATATACATCATCAAAAGTTGAGATTGTGAATGAGAAATTAATTGCAGATTTGTAAACAATAGTTAAGAGGCTTTGTTTGTTTTTGTAGGTCAGTAACATTGTAGGTATGTTTGTCTATGGGATTAGAAGGGGGGGAAGTGAGGACATTTTTGGAGTGATGTTTGACAGATTTCCAAAGTTGGAAGGCAAGTGAAGTTTTGGTATAAATTTATAGAGGTGATATTGTTTATTAGAATCAGTATTTCCTGACTGAACCAAACCCTGCATGAAGCAGAAACCCGTCTAAGTTCAGAGCTTGTATTGCCTTGAAACTCAATGAGTTTGCCTTTGTGCCCTTTGACAATTCCTATATTATTTCTATGTCCTTATGCCATTTTATAAAAGTTCTGTGAGTTGAAATATGTGTCGTGCAGCCCCCCCTCACATGCAGAATAAATATTTATAATATTACAATTTTTAATTATAACGATTCCAATTATTGCATGGTTTAGATGCAGTAGATTTCTGTAGAGGATTTGTAAATAAAAAATTAAACTGGTCTACAAACCAATTGAAAATGTCTAGTTTTAACATGTAAATTGATTGATATTCTTGTTAGCATTCCTTTCCAATAGATGATAGGTGTACAACAAACCAGTTCCCATGATTTCTATAAATATTTATTAATTTTGAATGGTAGTTGAATCCAATCAGCGCAGTGTGCAATGATGTCATTTGAAAATGTTATTCCATTGGAAAATAGAAACCTTTCTTTTCAGTTTAAATTTATAAATATTTGAATAGATTTGTTGCGTTGATAGTTTCTGTACATCATCTACCATACGGTAATGATAGTAAAAAGATTTTGAACAGTAGTCTCAGATATTATGATACACATACATTAGGGAAAACAAGGAAGCAAGCTATATGGCATATGATGAAAAGAAAGGTCACTTATACCAGACTTGCTGACCTCAAGATTCCAGACAGCAAAATTGATTTACTTGTTAAAATTGTTTAAATTTGAACACGAAGAGGGAGGAGGTTTTAGTGAGTGGCACACAATCTTTTTTTTATGACATCTACCTATCTTGAGAAAACCAAATTCTCTACTGTGTTAGTTGGCTCACACCTGGTACATGCATCACAATCCCTCTCATTGACCTCATTCAGAAATAACTAGGTCAGATGTGTATATGTATCGCAAAAAACATGCAAGAATCGATAAAAATACCCACTGATTTTGAGAAAATATCAACAATCAAACATATTAATCTAAATCGATTGACTTCTCCGTCAAAACAAAAATCACAAATATGACAATTACATAATTACAGAATACATATTATTCTTAGAAATAATATTTTTCCAGAGTGGTTTCATCTGTATATTAATTGTATCTATGTTGAACATGGGGAAGACTATAGATACTGCATCAGAGTATGATGCGTCTGTTTATAGAAAACAGACGACATGGTTTCACTTATAGTTCAACTTCTGCTTTTTCTTGAGAACGACAGAGAAGTTGCAAACACAGTCATTTACATGCACGTGAAATATGACTTTGAAGGACTTCTGACCTTAAAACTAGATTAGTGTCATTATACTGTAGAAAGGCACAGAGAGAAAAAGAGACACACAGCAGGTGACCTGCTCCGTAACTCCCCCTTTGCTTTGGTGACGTAGCAAATGATGGGTCGTAGTCGATACGAGAATGTCAGTCAAGAGTGACTCAGTCACGCAGTCTTAGAGTACCGTCTCGCAAATAATCAAACTATAAACAGTTAGACTGTTTCCAATTATTACTCAGTACTCCCCAAAATCACATGATTTATCTTTCAATCCGTGATAACGGGGAGATAATTTAGCAAAGTAATTCGATCGACAATCACTTCCTGGATTAGGGAGATACGAGCTTTTTCGGAAATAGTTAAGTTGCAACTCACCGTGAAGACCCAGCTGAAACATCCATATGGAAGTAGTTTCTTATTCTTCGGTTATCCGTTACAACTCATACCGTGATAAACGTATCCCTTATCACGGTTGTTAACTTGCAGTTATGCTGTGTGTACGAAGAAGTCCGATTCGAAATAAACAACCCACCCAAACCAACTATAACAGTTCGCGACTGTAGCTACACACGACAGATGATGGCACCGAAAAACACACAAAAAACAATCGAGATATCTCGCCCGGTGGTAATGTCCTTCGCCTGTTTGAATCTTCAGATATCCAGCAATGCCTCTCAGATCACAGAATTCCAAAATTTCGATTTAAAATGTGTTGTTTTGGTCCAAACTTTCAGCGGACGCTCACCGGAAAGGTTACGAGGGATATCCCTTGTAAGTAAACTGTTTACTCACTATATCATTCCCCCAAACATAAATAGCACCGGATTATTTGTCTTCATTACAGTTAATTCATAAGATATTTTAATTTATTGGTAGTACTTACTGTCCTTGTATAACTTAAAATTAAGTAAAATCTGAAAAAGTTTTTAAAACGTCGAATATTAATTTCTTTTTTCATTGGAAAAGGTTAAATTTTTCATCCGCGTGTGAAGCGTCAAAGATGGCCGCCGCTGAGGGAGGCACTATTTGCATAAAATGTGCCCTGGCCCCGACGAACTATTATTGAAGTCAAGGGTTCTGACTCACCGACTTCTCAGCAGATATTATTTCAATAATTATTGCATGTAGCTACTGTACTTTCAAGGCTAGACAATAATGAACTTGAGTTATTTTTTACGAACACAGTTTATTTTTTTCAAAATAGAACCAATTTTGAAGTACAATAGCTTGGGCTTGAAATATACGAGCTCAAATAAATGAAAGGTGTAAAGAAAGGTTTTTGTTTTTTTAATGATTACCTGCAAAATATTTGTTTCAATATGTCACCTCGATTCCCAAAATTATCGTATTGCCAAATGCAAAATTAGGAAAACAATAGCCATCGTGACTTTCACTGCAAGTTCGAAAATTAAAAAAAAGACAAAAGTAGCTGTCATACTGAACTTTGAGGGCGCAAAACAGAAACTCGTATGATCATCGTCAGGTCAGTTAAATTCATAAAATTTTAAAGCACATATATAAGAAGGATTCTCAGACGGCACAGTGGATCTTCTGTCTCGGGACTCGGAACATCGAAAAAACAAAACATTACCACGAGTTAGTTAGTTTATCATGCTTATACGACTTATAAACAGATATAGCTACTCAGGCTGAGCCCGCTGAACACACTCAAATTAAGGAAAGAAGCATATTTTCTCTACCAATTGTGTGTGAGTTTTTGATGGCCATTTCAAGACATGTCGAAATTTATATTGAGACTTTCAGTCGTGATTATCGACTTTTCAGGCAATGATTTAGACATAATAAACCCAACGGCATGCTTTTCGAAGATTACCACAGTAAGTTGTTATAATGTGACGCCATGATACCCCCATCCATGTCCCACCTGTCAATCAACGTAAGTCTGCTAAACGACTGCACCTTTTCTAGTGCGTTGCTGTGAAAGATCCTACCTAAGCTGTCTTTTGTTGAACACACACAAAAGTCGACCCTGATCATGTGTGAATATGTGGTAAACTCAAAGAGGAATTAATTTGAAGGTTCAGTTCTTGACACAAATACAATGAGAGGTCAAATTGAAAAAAATGCGATGGCAGATCAGGTACACTGAGTGAATTCCAAAGGGCCTTATATACGCCCTCAGGCGACGAATCGCATTTTGGTATCGGTGGAATAGACGCATTCCTTTGTAAAGTCCGCGTCTACACTGATCAAACTTCACTGACAACAAATGTTATTAACGAATATTGCTCTGTATATTATACCGTGCTGCATGTTGCCATGACGATTGAAATAGAGTCAATTTATTGCACCAAGTTGAATATCGTTGATGACACGCTAACAACTTGTGACATTGCACGATATACCAATTAACATTTGTCGCCAACAAAAGCCACAGCTTGTTGATCCGTGTATCACGACCTTAACGTGAAATAAGGGGTACAATTTTAAAGCGATCAGATTGTTGTTTTTTTTGGTGGTTCACCAAATAGGTCTTAAGTAAATACACGCATCCTTCATGAGGTAAAAACTTTTTTAGTTGTTTTCAAAACACGTGCTAATAGAAAACTAATGAACTATTTGTAGAGACTGTAAATCAAAGCGGTAAGCGGATAGTCGGACAACTCATCCTGCCCCTATTTGCATATCCAGAGTCATAGGGACTGTGGCATATTATTTTAAAGTTTATTATCCTTTTTCCTTTTCTATTTTACTTGACTGTGTTCATCTTCTATAGAAAGAACTGTGTCAATAAATTTGAAAGCTAACTGCTACGAGACCAAATACCACTGTGAACAATTTAGTGTCCCTCCAAACGGCCGGGTTTAATAATAATTGGTGCCCGGGAAATCATCCGCCTCTGGAAGTTTTAATAGGGCAGCCCCTAAGACTGTTATTAAACTCGGGCAACTGCGCTGCAAGCCAGTATGACGCCTTGTTCAAGTGTACATGGGGTCAGAGTATAACGAGATTGTATGTGTCCATGTTTTATAGCAACAATGGCAGACCATCGTCCTTGTTTACCTTTACGCATGCGAACTGATGGTTGCTAAGAGCCGGGCATTTACACCAACAAACAAAACAAAACAACGGCGTTGTTTGACACTGTTGCTAATAAATGGGCTGATTAAAATACTTGTCATACAACCATTTAAGGTAAAACACGTAACTACAGTTCAAGTTATTACATCACATTTTGTTTACAAATTATGATCTGTCTAGAAGGGATATTAATCAATCACCTTTTTGTACATTTTGTGCGAATGAAAATGAAACCCTGGACCACCTTTTCTATTCATGTAAATTCACTGATAGTCTAGGATGAAAACCACAAAGATGTTGGTACAGAAACCCACTCTTGATGTGATCATATTTGAAAATAGTTCATAGTAGTTCAATAGTTTTGTAAATTACAGCCACCTTATGTTAAGAGACACATTTATGCTGCAAAGATGAGAAAGTTCAAACCCCATATTTTCCCTTATTCAAACTCCTAGTGAAGTCTAATTATCATTTAGAATATGAAATTGCTACAGAAAGAGATAAACTTGATACACATTGTCAGAAATGGATACACATTATTGAAGTAATTAAAGGGAAAGTCAATGCTAACAACATAATACTCCCAGATAAAAGAGATCGACAAATGTAAGAACATGCAACTTACAGTTTTCTTTATATCACTTTTCATTCTCTAGATATTCAACTTTTCATTAATGTATCTAGTCCGCCATCTTGATTCTTCAGGATTATGGGTAGAGTATGACATCATAGAATCTGTTACTTGTACTTGATGAGTGACATTTGTTATCATGCATTCGCTTGGTGGTTGGCATAAATTAAAACATATGACGTCACAGTTCGACGGCCTATACTGCGTTACAAGTCAAGCTCTCGTTTAGATCGGCGTTATTGTAAACGTTTACGCTTTTGCAAAGGTTGTGAAGAACTGGTCATTAGCACCCAAAAACACGACGCCGGAGTAACTTGCCGAATCTAGAGATAAATATAACTGTTATTGTTAAAATCAACAAACAAGTCACTAAAATCGATGTGAAAAAAACTCAATCAATGAACCATTTAACATGTGAGGATTTACTGCATTTATTATCAGCCTTTTAAACAATATTATTTTTATATGTGTCTGAACATTTTTGCAGATTAAAGATGTGATTAGTCACAAAATGTAGTATATTGTATTCTGGAAAGCACGTAAAAATGGATACAAATATTATGAACTGAATTAGCTCAAAAACGTAATAAATGGAATAAGCACAGGAGTTTAATCCGTTGTTTGTGTATTGTCACCTCGATATGGGGGGGGGGGGAAGTACCAATGACAGAACGATTTATTCTATTTTCATGTTAAAGTAAATCACAAGATATGTCAACCATTTTTCTTTTTTTTTTCTAACATTCCATCTAATAATGTCATGTTCAACGTATAAGGATATGACCAAACACATAAATAATTTCAGTAACTTATCACATGGTGGATTTATCTCTATAATTCTCAAAGACGGCCCGGGACAAGAAGTCAGTGAAAGACAAAGTATTTGTTTTCGTTAGCGTGGGGGGAAGTTGGTTAGCGTGGAGGAAAACAGAGGTGTTAATTCGAAAATTCATTGTGTATTCTTGAGTGTGATTAGTCCTTGCAACGTTTTGGGGATCGTGACAGATTAAAGGGCAGTGGTCGTCCCGCTGCGCATGTGCGACATTTGTGTTGATAAACAATGATTTTCCCACAATCCAATGCGCTCTTCAAATGGAAATCACAAGTATGAGGTTTGACCTGGGCGAGACTTGCACTGAATACCGCCGGTGACTCCTTCGATACCTTCCAATCACCTAAAATTACATAATGAATTAAAGCTTAGAAACGTCTCAGTTTGTACTCGCTGATCTGCGCAACAGTCAATGTCGCCATCTTTGTTTATATGAGACCCATATATCTCGCGCATGCGTGGCGCGACGATTACCGCCCCAAAATACGGTGCGGGCCGGTACAATTTACTAAACATTGTCTTAAAATAACACAGCAACACCTCATAGTAAGAAAGTAATTGTAGATCTATTGTAATGTAGCTTCGTATTGCCAGTGAATCCTGTGATTTGTAAATGTATTTCGTGTCCAATTTGCATCTTTCACTGTTAATCATTTATTTATTCAAAGTTGTCTTGTAGTTTTTATTTGCCTTACTGCTGAACTTTCCAGAGTAAGTGTTGTGTCAATAAATAAATAAATATTGTCATACTCAAATTTTCATTTACAATAGTACATGATACTACAATAGTTCAGAAAGTGATGCAGCGATAGGTGATTTTCCATACAATTGCGAGATCTCGCGAGATGCAAAAATCTGCCGCAAAAATCGAACGATTTGATTTTGAACTGGAATTTCCTTATTTCGTAGCTCACACCGACCGGCCGATCTTCGACAGAGGAATATTGCTTCCGAATACCCTTACTTAATCGAAATTGCCTATCATCAAATGTATACAGCACATTATTAAGCATGGAAATGTCCCAAATACTTGCGTTTGTCGAATCCCACGCGATGTTTGACGCGACTACGACGCTATGACCTTTGTTTGTCCTGTTTTTACGTTCGATTTCACGCATAACGCGTGATTCTCGCAGTGAACGGAAAATGGTCTATTGTGTTAGCTCGTAGCGTTGGGAGATGCGGTCAATAGCTGTCCAAACAAACAACAACGTTGATAGCCTGACAAGGTCGCGTGAGTTGCGCCCTCCGCGGTACTCCAAACCCAACACAGTGAGGTCTGATGCCGTTCGGCCGACGATATGTCACGCCTACATGTCAGACTAAGTTAATGACGACCTGTGAAAATGACAGTTGGGATTGACACCAGTTACGGTACAACGGCCATTTCTCCACGTCATCCTTTCTAAAAATAGAGAAAGTCACGCGATATGTCTTCTGGACATACATTCGTGATATATGTTCTCTGACTATCACATAGACAATAATTATTCAATTCTAGTTTACGTAATCTCATCCCCATCCCTGTAGTTTATTTTTAAGCCGACACCCCCGCATTGGCGCGTAGTATCGTCAGTCATGGTATAGGACGTTCGTCACGGTGCAGTATACAACAATATTTGGGAACAAGTGACGCTCTGGTTTCGAACGGTGTCACAATTGAATACCGTTTTCATTGTGGATGAGGTAAAAAAAATTACTAGTACATTTATGTTGACGTCACAGAATTGGTTCAAGTTGTTTTCAAATGCTCAGTTAGCACACGGCACGTGCATACCAAATAAAGAAGAGGGGGGTCGCTAAACATAGAGACGTCATGAAACTATATCCCATAAAATATTGCCTCATCCAACAGTCGGCCCAGAGAGCATTTTTTTTTTCATTGTATATGTACATGAACCCTGAGCTTGTTACTATTTATATCAGAGACAGAGAAACCTATTCTTGGGTCGGGCGTCTAATCCGGGGATTTTCACTGCAACCATCACCGGCGAAAACAACGGTCGAAAACTCTAATTCGAACGGTTCAAAAGATGCAATTTTTTTCCCCAAAAGATGACTTTTCGTTTACTTTATCGTCTGAAATAACATAAGTGAAAAAATTAGATGTTAGAGTAATAATTGAAATTAAATATGCAAAAGTTTCCGTTGTTAAATATTAATTGCTGCAAAACACGTTTGGTGCTCATCAATGATTGTGGCATTACGAATTAACTATTAACTCTCCTGGATATCAATCAATTTTTAATCACCTGTCCATGTTCTTTAAACATATAATATACCGTGTCAATTAAAATATAATAACGATTTAATTAGTGTGACAAATTGTGTAGTTTAATATTTGTGACTAGTACTAAGGTTTTTGAGATACCAGAGAAACAAGCTGCGCATGCTCATAAACACACCATATACGCATAAACACTGACAGCGCCACAGCTGAAGTTAAAACATAGTATTCCTTTGTGTGGACACTTGCGTAGTTTTCATGGTCAATGCGTTTGAAAATTTGATATGCTCTCGCAACTAAGCGATTAATATATTGAAGTCATTTAAAGCGGAGGAGTCGTCACCTACGCATGCGTCGGGTGGCCGTAGCGTGTCATTGTTTTCAAACAAGCGTCTACCCGTGAGCCTTTGCGTTATTAGCGTGTGTTGTTATCTTCGCTTGGGACTCAATTCTCGTGCGTGCGCAGGTGACGATCCCCCCGCTTTAAAGAGCTGCGGCTGTTATGGGATTCATAACTACGTATACAATATATAGATGGCTAGATAGCGTTTTTATTGAACTTGGACATTCGGCTGATATTTTTGTCACTGTGGCTCATTCTATAGCATTGCGGTGCTACTGCTAACATCATACATCGCGTGTCCGCCGAACAAGGCACACGCATTGGTCGATAGACACACTGAGTAACTTCATGACGTGCCCCTTTATATTTTAAAGGATAATATTCTTATCAGATTTGCCCATTGCATTTTATTTAATAAGAAACATATTTCTTTATACATTTTTCTCTCATATCGTCCCACATCGAAAAAACATGTGTATGTTTTGTTGACATGCACACGCAACTAAGCGTTTGAAGTCATTTAAAGGGCTTGATGTGGGGTTCATAGCGACGTATACAACGCGAGTAAAATACAGTGTTTGTTTACATGAAATTCGAACACGCGCTGAGCGACGACCACCGCGCTTTAATATTCAGGAGAAGCTGATATTTTTATGGAGCATACATTTTAATTATTTCTATTCTCGTTTTCTTGTATTACTCCCTGTGTACATCTCGCAATATATCGCGTTAGTTGGTGAAAGAACAAAGGGCATCGCGTTATCATGTATAATAGCGTTAATTCCATCGGTTGTTTATTGGTTCAAAAAGTTAAACCTCAAAACAAACGTGGCACGCATCTGGCCAAAGAAATAGCCGCGTTGCTAGTCTGTTCTCACATTAGTCTGAGCAGGTAGTCGATCCTGGTCTGTAACGTAAACCAGATTCACCGGGAAGTTGTGCCCGTAGAGTGCCTAAAGGGCGGTGGTCGTCGCGCAGCGCGTGTTCGAATTTCATGTAAACAAACAACACAATTCTAGCAGTCGATACAAAAATGGCGGTCAATTTGCTCAGGGAGTTCTGGGATATATAAGTTGCCAGCAACGTTTTCATCAATAAAGGCTTTTTTTCACGAAATGGAAGTTGTTTTGTAAATAAATTTGTCTTTCGGGCAATCCAATCTGTGTTGCGGAAAATAAAACATGATGTAACACCTTTGGGCCTCCGTAGGTTGAGGGGCCGGTGAAAACAGCTAAAGTCGAGAAAACAGCACAAACTCAGTGAGGTAATCCTTAGCAACCAAATTGATATATTTTGCACATGAATGGATATTCTTGTTACACTGTTCAGGAGAGGTAGCCTGCATAATACTGACAAAACATCTAGAGAATAAAAAGTGATATAAAAAAGAAAACTGCAAATTGCACTTTCCTACATTTGTAGATCTCTTCCATATAGGAGCATTGTGTTGCTAGTTTGGACTTCATTTATAATGTTTGGTTTCACCATGGAGCTTTTATTTTTAGCTCCAATGGTTTTACCAAGTGTCCCTGTAATTTGATGACGATAAAACGACGATCTCTTTATCTCATAATGGCATTATTTGTTTAATAATCTTAAATGTTGTTTGGGCATCGTGCCAGAAAGTCCACATCAACAAAAACTAAAATGGACTGACAAAAATATGAGATTACACCCCCATGGCGTAAAAGTCATTCAAAAGAAAATCCCAGGTTTATGACTTGTGTACTCCAACAATCATGGTTACAATAGTCTGTTTTCTGTTACAAAACGCAGGACGATTATTAGATTTGTTGTTCGAACTATATCTTGTGTATTTGTTTTGTTTGTTTTTTCCCGCATTTTTGTCTGTAATATAAATGCACTTGTTATTGTCACCCGTAATTTGGATAAATAAATGGATTTTTGTTCTTAATTTTGACAAGTCGTCTTGATGTTTTGTCTCGACAATGAGCTGTGTCTCTCTGTCGGCCACAGCGACGTAGGTGATAGCTGTGACGTCATTCGTGTTTGTGGCTATTTACGTAACAAGATGACGTACACAACCACGCGCTTTGACCGTGACAGCCATTGTTTCATACTTGTACTTATAAAATTGCTCATAAATTCCAGGTGATCCAAACATTTACGACTGCCAGGGTACTAAGGTAGTCGGAGATGATTAGAGAGCGTTTTTATTGAGCTTGGACATTCGGCAGATATTTTCCCTTCATGGATCCGAATTGTATTGCTTTGCGGTGCTAACATCATACAGCGCAACTTCGTGACGTCGCGGTGGCCATTTTTATTTTAAGGAGAATTATTTTTAGATTTGCCTATTGCATTTTATTTAATGAGAAACATATTTATTTATACATTTTTCATTTACATCTTCCCACACCGAAAAAATGTGTGTTTTTTGTTCGTTGAAGTATTTATCAGATGGCAGTTACAATACGACAATACCATTCTTGTCGAAATTAGTGCCAATGATAAAGCAGGCGCTTTGATATTTTTGTGCCACCGCACAAATCAGGTGTCCGCAATATGAATGAAATAACGAAAATTGTGTTTTTTGCCTGTTATCGACAGCACAGTGCTTGTATGTGATAGTCTACGAACGAATATGCTGACTCATTGGAAATACAAAGAAAGCAGTTTGGCCCGTTGTTACGAGCCGGAGACAATGACTGTGACGGAGCTCGCGTTGTGTTCTTTTTTTTTTTTGTAAAGCATGATATCGATTGAGATCGCGAGGCAAATATTAGCTCAGCATGTGGATTTTCTTGCAATACAAGCACGACATTTACACAAATGTTATAAAAAAATCGCATAGCCAAAATTTCCACCTTCTGTAATGCTTGTGGGCGAAAAGTGCGAGCTGGAAACGGTGGTCGAAACTTGCCTCATGTAGTTAGTTACTGTAAAGGGGTTAATTTTGCTTATTTCGCTGACTGGAAAATGCGCTAAATTAAAACCCAGTGAATATGTAAAATTTAGCATAGAACACATTATCTAAATGATAAAACCATGAATTTAAAACCCACTGAATATGCTTGAAATGCTAAATCAGCGAAATTTAAACCCAGTGAAAATTAGTCATTTTTAACAACGATCTGAGAAACAATGACACAGCAACAATTGACTCAATGACCGTGGCAGTCAGAGGAACCACAATGACCGACTAAAAGCATGTGATTTAGCAGGTGCCATTGTACTTTATATTCCTGCAACACTGCAACCACGTGACAAAACACCTGTTGCTATGGAGATACATACTACATGTGTATCCGCTACAAACCGGTCGTTTGTTTTTAGACTGACCATGGAATGACTCATTCATGCTATGACAATAAGCATCTAACGTTACATGGTAGTTTCCTTGCCAACCATTGCTACTCCATTTGTACTTGATCTTGGTAATTCCATTTACACATAGGCGGGTAAGATATTCGGAGAACGGTCAATTTAATTCATGAGATGAACATTGACAATCGACTTAACTATGCAATTTCATTCTAGTCGCAAATAATTATATTTTTGCTATCGCGAGTCGAAAAGCAATCGTGAAAACGCCGTAGTCCCCTGCTAAACACAAGCTGCCATCCCCCGTTAAATAGTACTAGTAGTTCATGTCTACCTGGTACTAGTGTATTGCAGTGTGTCGTGACAGTTAACAAAGCAAGGTGAACAGTAGCTTCGTCCTGTAGCTCTCTTGGCAGAACATCATTTTATCACAGACTTTGCTCACAACTGAAGGTATGGTACATTATTATTGTCAATCTAATTTTTACCTGTACAGTGGAGGCGACACCGGGACACCTGGGGGTGGCGGTCGCCCCCCCCCAAAAAAAATGCGCGACCACTCGCTCCTTCGAAGCGAGCGATGGTGAGCAGATTTCGCCCCATGCAAAATGTCGTGCCGCCGCCTCAACCGTATTATATGTTCACCAACTCGCACCCGTATATATCTCAACGTTAAAGTGAGAAATACGCCTGTGAGAAACCTGCGATGTTTTTCTTGCCAAGAACACGGCCACAAATAGTTCTGTTTCTGAAAATATGAATAAATTTTGATTTTGACCCGAAATGTCACGTTTTTGGATATCCTGTTGTACCTCAAGGTCACAATCATAAATTAGGCCTCTGTCACGGTGAAAAAGATTTGTGACCCCGCGCAGCAATAACTAACTCACTTTCACTGGCTACAGTCTCTCAACTTACAAAAGATTGTGCACTGGCATAAACACCATGGACTACTAACTTTCGTACTCCAGTTCTTCCTTTTTTTGAGGACTTGGATTCATTAAATGACTCATACCAAGACAGGAGTACACATTTACCCAGACTAATAACTCAAGTTGAACTATACTGACTCGAACCTGACGCAAGAACTGCTTCTGGTATTGGCGTCGACTCTATTGCTAGTTCGACTTGAAGTGAAGGCAGTCGTGCGTGGCCAAGGAGACGAGCATGGATTCGAAAACCCAAATGTTTTGAACGTGATATAAATGTGATTCAATGTGCCGATTAATCGTTTGTCAATCAATTAGGCATGAGTTGAGTGTTACGAATCAGAATAAACCAAGTCAAGGCCAGTCTAAAAACGAAAGCTTGTGTATCACATTTCTCAGGTAAAATTCGTATCGTCCCGTGTCACTACCGATTGCCGCTTCTTGTCCAGTGACAGTTGAACGCACGGAATTAGGACGAAATGAACGACAACTGTCCTAACTTCATTTTGGGATAATACATACCAGAACTTCCATAGCAATTTCTTGGCATGGTGACAGTATTTACAAATACAAATAATTCAGCTTCAGTCCCTCGGGCTACTCTTTCAAATGCACCGTGACGATTCCTTGGCATTTATGTTCAAGTGTTTGAAATCGAATTCCATACCAGTGTCCGTACTGATGGTATTTATTTCGTCTACATTATCACCAATTTTCAACTCATGGACGTACATTTTGAAATAGGTCTCGTTCGTATGGCAACAGGAGAAGGGGACGAAGGACGCGGGTAGCATCGTCAGCTGAAAATGACAAATTGTCTTCGTCTTCATAATTTACTTTCAAGTTGGCAGACCGTGCTTAGATACACATGTACCTTCCATGGGCATACTGAGGAACGTATACTATATTTAAAAAAAAACTGTCCCACCAACCAGTTTCGAATTATTACAAACCTTTAAATGTTTTCTTTGTAATTATTTCTTTGCGAAATACTAGTTCCGCCTTCTGTAATAATTGTGGCCGAAAAGTGCGAGCTGGAAACGGTGGTCGAAACTCCCTACATGCCTGTGACGGGGCTACTTGTTGTTATATCTGACAACAATGCCTATGCCGTGGTTATAACGATCTGAGAAACAATGGCACAGCAAGGATTGACTCACTGACCGTGACAGCCAAGTGGACAACACTGACCTACTAAAAGCATAAGATTTTGCAGCAGGTGGTAATATATATTCCATATTGCTACAACACTGCAGTCACGTGAAATAGATAAAACACCTGTTGCCATGGAGATATTTGTGTATCCGATACATCAACTAATACATGCTTTGACATCAAGCATGGGCAAACTGTGGAACGTATAGTCTGCTTTAAAGCCGTCACCTGCGCATGCGTCAGATGGCCATAGCGTGTTTACAAACAAGCGTCTACCCACGAGTCTTTGCGTTTTTTGTGTTATCGTCGCTTGGGACTCAATTCCTGCGCGTGCGTTGCTGACGACTCTCCCGCTTTAAAGAGAACTGTCCCATCCAACAATTGCGGATTATCGTAAGCCTTTAAATTTAGTCTTTTTAATAAGTACGTTGAGAAATACTAATCGATCCTTTGCATATTTACATACAGATTAAAATGGCGTCCTGCAGCGTAACTGGTTTGATCGCGTGTCTGGTTGTTCTGGGTAAGTTTGTGAAGATTTCTTTCTTGTTTCTTAGACCAGATATAATCCCTCATGAATAATCAGCGCCATTTTTCTCCCCAGGCTCAGAGGCAATCATGGCGGTCTAATTTGCATACTAATTTGCATATTTTTCAGGATTCACTCTCACAAAAACAAACATACAAGATTTAAATTACATAATACTTTACATAATATACCATAATTTGACAAGATCGTCATTTAATGTGAACTGTTCCATAAAACTTAGTCTAAACTATTAAATCCTTCTGACTTAGCCCTGCGTACATGGATGTGTAGGGGTGATATTTACATTGGGCTTCTTACGCCACCCCAACACAGCCATGTGAACGGTCACTATGATTTTCTAAAACCCCA